TAGCTGATGTGATCGTAGCAATATTTCCACGAAGCTCGGAAAGTGGTCCAAAGCTATTATGTGATTGCTGAGCTACGTCATCTCCTTGGGGAAGAAGATTATCTGCCATGGTGGATAAAACTATTTCTTTCTCTCGATGGTCTCGTAGTACTCGTGAAGTTGACCACCACTAAATGCGTCAAATTGTTGAGAGCTGATCACTTATTCAAATAGAACGCCATTTACTTGGGTAATCCCCCACATCAATTCTCTGGACCTGATTGGCCAGGAGCACGTCAGGGTGTTTATAAGGTGTACCCCTGGGGGAAAACCCCCCTGAAGGGGTGGGCTAATCAAAGTTTCATAGTGCTTTTTCAGCAACTTTCGGTTTCTAGAGATCTTTCCCTCACGAATGAAAAACTAAAATAAAAACTTTTCCCTAACCTATACCTTTTGGAGCCCCTCTACTCCTTGAAAGTCTATCAAGTTTAAAAATTGTGGTTTTCACAGGAAGGTTGCATGTCCTCATAGAAACTAGAAAAAAATTAAAATTTTAAATCAGGGTTTATAATGATAGCTATTGCTTCAATATTGGATTATCCATATTTATGCGAGGGCCAGTTAAAATTAGCTCTGCCTTAATCTTGGCTAGGATCATAGAAGAGAACAAGGAAGATCAAGAGGTTATTAATGCTATTGCCAAATGACATAAAACTTCTGCATAAACCGATATGATTTACCTGGGAAATCCTCTAAATAAAAACTCTGGCCTTGACTGGCCAAGAGTCTTGTGTTTGTCTTTGGGCTGTCCCCCGCTTGGGTAGTATCCTCAAATAGGGCGTGATGAAATAATTTGTTAGGAGATTGAAAGTGCTCTCTCAGTAAGTTTCAGTTTCGAAAACCTATCTCAGAGGACTGAAAAACCGAAAGGAAAACCCGTTGGTTTCCTACACCGCGTGGAGCCCGCGCAGGTTGAAATCACCTCGAGCACGAGGTTTGACCTTAATTAAATTAAAGACAAATTACGTCACCAACAGGTTTAACAATGGTATTTTTAACAGAGCTAGTAAATTTGTCTAATCAAATTCAATTACACGAGCGTGCTTCATATTCCTATTGTGCACGCTCATGACATCAGCAAACAAATCCCTCGAGAAAAGAATTTTCCTTTGGGTTGAAAATGTTATAAAACAATTGGTTCTTACGTCAGCTGTGCGTCCATCGAGATATGAAGCCCTTGGGAAGTTTGGAGAGCGCTCAAGAAGCCTGGAGCAACTCTTACGCACCTTTCGTGCTCTCCAAACATCCCGCGTGCTTCATATCTCGATGAACGCACGCTGACATATGAACCATTGCTAAATCTCAACTCACATGAATTCGAATACCATCATTAACATGGAGGACAGTTAAAAGTAGCTTGCTTGCTCCATATTCAGGCTTGGTTCACCGAAGAGCATCGAGGGGCATCAAGAGGCGTTTAATTCAAGTGCCAAATGGGATCATATTTCCTTCGTTCCTTTGGGAAATGCACCCACACATTCTTCTACATAACTTGCGGGTAACACACGCCACTCGAATTTTGTCCGTTGTTTATCTGTTTTAGTTGTTTATCTGTTTTAGGTCGATTAATGTACAATACTTACCCCATCCCCACAGAGACACCTCACCTTAACGTATTGTCCTAATTAACCAATCAGACAGCGAGTTGAAAC